AAATCAACATGTCATGAATTTGTCGAACTTGCAACTGCATACTAATATCCAATGCTCTGCTCCAGGCATTGCATATCAGCTGATGTTTTGGCCTCTGTTCAAGACAAAAAGTTGTGCTTCATGGCACTTGCTCAGTGGGAATCCGACAAGCTTTCTTCATGGGCCATCAGCAACATCCTCTGGAGCTAACAAAACACATCATCGGCGTCATGTACCAATCGTGACTTCAAACATTCATGCCGTGCAACGTGGGAGTGTGGAAATCAGACTGTAAGATGCTTGTCTAAACGCGTTGATCAAGCAATCCATGTCTTGTCACTGTTTAGAGAAAAACAACAAGTAACTTGGCGTCATGCAAGGCTGATTCCACACCGCAGCAACCTATCATGCTGTTCCTTGAAGCATAAGTTTAGGATGGTTGAATATAAATCAACATGTCATGAATTTGTCGAACTTGCAACTGCATACTAATATCCAATGCTCTGCTCCAGGCATTGCATATCAGCTGATGTTTTGGCCTCTGTTCAAGACAAAAAGTTGTGCTTCATGGCACTTGCTCAGTGGGAATCCGACAAGCTTTCTTCATGGGCCATCAGCAACATCCTCTGGAGCTAACAAAACACATCATCGGCGTCATGTACCAATCGTGACTTCAAACATTCATGCCGTGCAACGTGGGAGTGTGGAAATCAGACTGTAAGATGCTTGTCTAAACGCGTTGATCAAGCAATCCATGTCTTGTCACTGTTTAGAGAAAAACAACAAGTAACTTGGCGTCATGCAAGGCTGATTCCACACCGCAGCAACCTATCATGCTGTTCCTTGAAGCATAAGTTTAGGATGGTTGAATATAAATCAACATGTCATGAATTTGTCGAACTTGCAACTGCATACTAATATCCAATGCTCTGCTCCAGGCATTGCATATCAGCTGATGTTTTGGCCTCTGTTCAAGACAAAAAGTTGTGCTTCATGGCACTTGCTCAGTGGGAATCCGACAAGCTTTCTTCATGGGCCATCAGCAACATCCTCTGGAGCTAACAAAACACATCATCGGCGTCATGTACCAATCGTGACTTCAAACATTCATGCCGTGCAACGTGGGAGTGTGGAAATCAGACTGTAAGATGCTTGTCTAAACGCGTTGATCAAGCAATCCATTTCTTGTCACTGTTTAGAGAAAAACAACAAGTAACTTGGCGTCATGCAAGGCTGATTCCACACCGCAGCAACCTATCATGCTGTTCCTTGAAGCATAAGTTTAGGATGGTTGAATATAAATCAACATGTCATGAATTTGTCGAACTTGCAACTGCATACTAATATCCAATGCTCTGCTCCAGGCATTGCATATCAGCTGATGTTTTGGCCTCTGTTCAAGACAAAAAGTTGTGCTTCATGGCACTTGCTCTGTGGGAATCCGACAAGCTTTCTTCATGGGCCATCAGCAACATCCTCTGGAGCTAACAAAACACATCATCGGCGTCATGTACCAATCGTAACTTCAAACATTCATGCCGTGCAACGTGGGAGTGTGGAAATCAGACTGTAAGATGCTTGTCTAAACGCGTTGATCAAGCAATCCATTTCTTGTCACTGTTTAGAGAAAAACAACAAGTAACTTGGCGTCATGCAAGGCTGATTCCACACCGCAGCAACCTATCATGCTGTTCCTTGAAGCATCAGTTTAGGGTGGTGAAATAAAAAAATAAACATGTCATGAATTTGTCGAACTTGCAACTGCATACTCATGTCCAATGCTCTGCTCCAGGCATTGCATATCAGCTGATGTTTTGGCCTCTGTTCAAGACAAAAAGTTGTGCTTCATGGCACTTGCTCAGTGGGAATCCGACAAGTTTTCTTCATGGGCCATCAGCAACATCCTCTGGCACAACTGGAAAACAAGGGGACTGGTTGAAACATGTAATTGCTGTCCGAGCGGCTCCCATCAATGCTTCATATCATAATATCTCATATCATTATCATATCATGCAACATATTTTGCCATTCTGACGACGCTAAAATCATGGTTACATAATTACTGGTTGGTGGTGCAAAAACCATCTTGAAAAATATGAACGTCAGTTGGGAAGGATTATCCCATATATGAAATGGAAAATAAAAGCCATGTTCCAAACCACCAACCAGAATAATAATAATCCACCACATGTTTAATGGTTTATACCACCCATAAAAATGGGATTATTATTCCCAATATATGGAAAAATAAAAAATGTAATAAAGATGTTTGAAACCACCAACCAGTAATTATATATCATATTCCATGTTGATAAACCAACGGAAGAATCGCTGCTGTTGAGCCTTAGAGAATCCAAAAATCCAAACCACGATGCCCAGATGTGTTTCTGGAACAGGGCATTGATAATGGAGAATCACGATTTCTATGTTTGTTTTAATGGTTTTATATGTTTATATATATATAATGTTATTTTATTGTTTTGTTTTTTAAGGAAGTGATTGGATCCATAGGCTATAGTATAACAAATGGTAACGTGTATACATGTATGTAATCAACCATTATAATTTTTATCATCAAAATAATGTCAATTCAATATTAATAAGAACAAAACAATAACACAACCAATAATAATATCAATAACAACAATCATCAACAACAACAACAACAGCAACAACAACAACAACAGCAACAACAGCAACAGCAACAACAACAGCAACAGCAACAACAACAGCAACAACAACAACAGCAGCAACAGCAACAACAACAACAACAGCAGCAACAACAACAACAGCAACAACAACAGCAACAATAACAACAGCAACAGCAACAACAACAACAACAGCAACAACAACAGCAACAGCAACAACAGCAACAGCAACAACAGCAACAACAACAGCAACAACAACAACAACAGCAACAACAGCAACAACAGCAACAGCAACAACAACAACAACAGCAACCGCAACAGCAACAACAACAACAACAACATCAGCAACAGCAGCAGCAGCAACATCAACAGCAGCAACAGCAACAGCAACAGCAATAACAAAATACCAGAGTAACAATCATAAGAATGTGGAGATGGGTACAGTAAATTACGATGATGACAATCAAATTGTTCTGCCATAAATGGAGGATAGTTGATAGTTGTGTGAATGCATATACTTGCGAGAACATCCCATGCTTCAAGGATTCATATATTATAGGTATACAAAGAATAGAACTATGTCTGACAATGGGCTTTACACATGTTTACAGTAAATAGAATCATGATGCAGAATACACTCTGGTAAACTAACATAGCTATGGAAAATTGCCATTTTTAGTGAGTTTTCCCATTAATAATGGTGATTTTCCATAGCTGTTTGTATGTTTACCAGAGGGTAATGGCCCCATCTGAAGCATTGTCCACTGTAAATGTTGATATATCCGTTTCCATCAAGCTTCCATAAAACTGAAGGGAGTTCCAGCCAGCTAAGTGACTAACTATCGGAGACTTCTATTGTAAGCTTGGAGCTTTAAAAAAAATGGAAATGTCTATTGTACTATATTGCGCTATACTATATTGTACTTCAACATTCGGGTAAGATGAAGCAAGTTTCAGATCCGAAACTGAAGAACTTTCAGAACCTGTCGAAGTCTTCAAGGCTGACGTCGAGAGACCTTCATTCATGGGAAAATGGAAAAACTATATAATACTATGAAAAACAAATAACAAAAACAACAACAAACCCACAAAAAAAAAAACACAAAAAAAAACATGGTAGCAGACCTCTTCCAAGGTAGCAGATCCAGCTAGTCCAGACCTCCTTTTGGATTGTTTTGTTTGTTTTTTTGGATTGTTTTGTTTTTGTTTTTTCCCTGCAGGAAAAAACAAAAAACAAAAAAAAGAAGGGGTACCACGAGCCGCCGGGGCACCCCCTAGACTGATTGCTTTCCCCCCTCAAGGGTAATAGGCGAACTGTTTTTGTTTTGTTTTCTGTTTGCTTTTTGGTTTGTTTGTTTTTTTGGTTTGTTTCTTTTGGGGTGTTTTTTGTTTTTTAAAATTATTTGCTGGTTTCCAGTAAAATGAAGCATTTTGCGTCATAACTTCAAGGTGCTTGAACTGTTCGCTGAGCATCCCCGGCACTGCGCAACTGAGCGGGTAGAAGATCCTGGCTGAAAATTCTCATCTGACGGAAGTTAAATTCCCAGTTTTTTGATGTTTTTGTTGGCTCAGCAAATTCAAAATACTGAAAGTTAAATCCATCCTAACGTGCCAAAGCGACGTTATATCATGAGCCCAATTTCTTGGATTATTTTGAATCATTCCAGAATTTCCATGGAATTTCACTGAGCCGTGTTCCCATCTGTGGGGTCACTCCAAACTCCAGTCCACTGAATCTCGGCCTCAGGAGGTCCGTGAAGTTTTATGTTGGGATAGAAACCATTCCAGTGAGGTCGCTATTTACTTAGACTGTATGAGATCTTTAGCAACAAACACTATCGTGTGGTTGGGAAACGCTGATTGTAGCTCCTTGGCTCCCCATTCTCTGTTGGGAGAATATCGAAATATGCATGCACATAGCTCCAAATCGCTCCCTGCCAACCACCAGAGAGAACATACACAACTTGTTGTTTCAATACTGGTCAACTGGTCAAATGAATTTATCACCAATCCTCTAGGTGTGCCCGAAAAGGTGAGTATGATAAGCAACACAACCAGCACCAAATGAGCCAACATTCGGAGAGTTTGTCTTTCAACCCACACATTGGATGCAAATGGATGGAAACTATCAGTGACTAAGGGGATCCTACCTTCACCTATGTGAAATTGCAGCCGTGTACCCTGGTGTCATCAGCTCCATAGCTGGAACATTCACCATTTAGTTCCATGATTTTCCCAGCTATAAACACGAATATTCACCATTTTATGGATGATTTTTAGTTGCCATCTTTGCTAGGGGGTAGACCAACAAGAAGTTCAAATTTCATCGGATCATGTTGGAGTTCAGCACGGATTCGGCGCAGCACTGGCTTTCTCCGCAACGCGCAATCTCCACTGCTGTTCGCTCATGGAACCGGTCAGGTCGATCAACCACTCCTCTTGGGCGAATTGGCATTCGCAGCAATGCTCCTGCGGGAAACTTTTTGCAGAAAAATGCGCCACTTTTCAGAGTTGCGAGACTCAAATCTTACAGTTGTGTAAGAAACTCCTATGCCCAAGATCAACATGATCAACCCTCCCTTTCTCAATGGTCTGTCTCTAAGAACGACGAATATCAAAATAAAATAAAACAATTACGACATGCTAAGATTTGCATTTAGGACTTTGGCAAATGTTTGGAGCATCTTGCTACAAAACGGTGACAAATGATCCAAGCAAGTAAAGGCTTTGAAACAAACCCATGGCCTTTATTCGGTTGGGGAAAAGCCGGTATCGCAACTGGGCAGAAACTAATCCCATTTCTTCAGTGGTCTATCCAAATAAGTTGATCATTGGTTCAAACCCTCCGTTTGTACCAAGGAAAGGGTGTGTTCCCCAGAATTTGTTGCTACTTGTACCAAATTTTTTGGGTGGTATTTGGTTTGGGTCAAACGTCAGTGCCCACCAACATGTCATGGCTCAGTGCTGCGAAGAAATTTCCCCCATTTCTGGATGAATAGCTTGGGATAAACATCGAAGAATATGTGGAAACCCTGGGAAAAAAGAACACGTTTAATTTGGGTAAAACAATACTGGTTGGTGGTTTCAACCCCTCTGAAAAATATTAGTCAATGGGAAGGATTATCCCATATTACATATTATGGAAACTAAAAAATGTTCCAAACCACCAACCAGAATAATAATCCACCACATGTTTAATGGTTTATACCACCCATAAAAATGGTGATTTGGGGGATGGTTTATGACATTGTTTTAACCACAGAAAAAAAAATACTGATCTTCATGGGTTTCAACAGCACATCGACACATCGAAGAATCAGTGAATTTCCATCTCCTTGCGTGCCTCATCTCTGGCCTGGCTGATGTCACGCCATGTCATCACGGGATGGAAACGGATGGAACAGAACAAACCATCTTCCTGGGGTTGGTGGTTTCAACCCTACCCCTCTGAAAAATGATGGAGTGAAAGTCAGTTGGGATGATGAGATTCCCAACTGTTTCTGGAAAGTCATAAAAAGTGTTCCAAAGCACCAACCAGTCTTCCATAGCTCTTGCCAAACTTCCAAACTTTTGATCCAATGTATGATAATGTGAGCCTCCTAACTCTCATCATTGAAGCGCAAAGCCCCCAACTAAGTTACCCAGGCCCGAGCTCCCTCCCAACCACGAGATAGAGAAGAACCTCCCATAAATCATCCCAGCAAGATCCCGTAAAATGAGACATCCCTTAAAAGAAAACACACATGATAATACATCAATTATTAACACTAAACCCATGATTATCTTCCTTTTGGTGATATATATATATATACATATATACGTATATATATATATATTTATATATATATATTATATTTATATACGTATATATTTATATTTATATTCCATGTCATCATCCCATTCTTATCCATATCCCATAAAAATGGTGGTAAGAACGCAGCCAAGGTGCTGCTCATAGCTCTCCTGCGGATCTTCAGCGGCGGCCGCGATCATGTCCTGCGTTTTTAACTAAGCGAAAACGCTTGGCGAAAGCGCCGAGCCGGTGAAGAGAGGGATACAATAGTGGTTAATCAATGGTTCATAGTGGTTGATAGTGGTTAATAATGATGATTAATAATGGTTAATTGTGGTTAATAGTGGATTTTTATGGTTACCCTCTGGTAAACTAACAGTTTGCTATTGAAAATGGCCATTTATAGTGGATTTATCCATTAAAAATGGTGATTTTCCATAGCTATGTTAGTTTACCAGAGGGTATATGGTTAATAGTGGAACTAAATAATGGATTGATCTTTAAACATGACTTTGAGTTGCCGATTTATGGATGAGATTGTGATTTTCGTGGTTGATAGTGGATTTACCCTCAGGTAAACATACAAAAAACGATGAAAAATCACCATTTTCAAGTTCGGTAAATCCACTATTTCTATGGCCATGTTCAATAGCTATTGTGAATAGCGGATGTATACGGTTGATATGGTTGATAGTGGTTTTATATGGTATCATCGTAATTGTTACAATAATAATCTAATCTATAATGGTGGTTGATACAGTGGATGGTTGCGAAATCCTGCACCAGTTGATAGGTGGTGTATATTGGTGTATCCCATTGTTTATAGGGCTTCAACCATCCAAGGTGGTGCAAGATTTCTTCTATCGACAGTAGTGGCTATATATATCTATATAAACCAACTGTTACACTAATGATCTAATAGTGGTTGAAAGTGGTCACATGATCTAGTAGTGGTTATAATATATGGTTATATAAATGAGAAAATGATGACACCCTTGATGATTCGTAATGGATTATCCCGTGTTCTTTAAAGATGTTGTGTCTGAAGAATGATGATATTACTGTGATCAAAGTATATACTAGGAAAAAAAAGTAAGAGTTCAGCCAAAACAAAGAAGCAAACATATTGTAGTAACCAATAGCGGTGACAACAAATCATGAATAGCATGTTTTTTACACAACATCCGAGATCTACAACCTTCAGAAATTTCGAAATTTCCAGGGATCTAAGCAACAATATGGGGATGGGTCAAAACCTATGATTACTGGTTGGTGATATGCCTACCCCTCTGAAAAATATGAAAGTCAGTTGGGATTATGAAATTCCCAATATATCTTGGATATTTAGTCATATATTGGAAATACTGATAATCCAATATTATTTATTTGTTATTCCCTTCATTCCCAACTGAATGGACAAATAAAAGCCATGTTCCAAACCACCAACCAGATGACCATATCTTGGGTACCTAGGGCGCCAGGGTTTCGTTGAAATTTCCGGTCGAACTAAGAATTTTAAGTGGTAAACATCAAAATAGACCTCCGATTTTTGATGATTGATATATATATATATATATACTCAGCCATTTTTGTTCAATTCGGGATGGTTAATTATCTATCATTGGGTTTACAACATTAATCTGGATACAAACTAGAGTTACAACACAACTCACACCATCCAAGTGTGTACCCCCGGTTCTTCTCTTGGGATTTCGAAAAATCACGCAACTACGACTTGCAATGGCTGGGCGGCTAGCCATATCCCCTTTCTCCGCTGCTGAACAGCCCAGGGGTCCTTGTCTTTGTACATCATCTCTACAAATGGAAGAGCCTGTCTTGCTCGGTGCTCGCCAGTCTGGTAAGCATCATGAACGCGATTTTCTCTGAGTTTGATCAGCACAAAACTCAGAGTCAATTCGGAACCAACATGCGCAAACCCTCTGGTAATTCTAGCTATTGAAAAATCACCGTGTTTGATAGGTAAATGATCTAAACATTGGCAATTTTCCATAGCTACGTTGAATGACCAGAGGATATTCAAATCTGATGCAACCGCCTCCCAGCGGAAATGGTTGTTGAAGTGGAAGTAGCATCCTGACGCGGCTTCCGCTGAACTTCACACGATCAGTGGATCACTGGCCCTATGGAGCTTCCCAGAACCACCGTCACCAATAACTAATTAGCGTCAGCAATCTTTCTACTCATCAGCTTTGGCGTAAGCATGACATGCTTCTTCGGAACAGCCTGATGTTCACACTCAAGCATCACAAAAAACCTGGTCGACTGGAGTGAAGATAGGTGACATTTCGTGCAATCCATTTAAATTGTTGCAGGACCTATGGACATGGTGAAGTTCAGCTTCCCTACCGTATCGCAGCTTGTTCTGAGCTTGACGACCTATCTGGATAGCCTCTGGCAATGCAACATCCCCCCGCTTAAATGACGCTTTCAATGGGAAAGTCATCTATAGAACATTTTCCATTACCACCTTTGAGTACTGGAGGGTATAGGAATAATTTATAATACCCTCCGGTAAACTAACAGTTTGCTATTGAAAATGGCCATAGAAATAGTGAATTTTCCCATGAAAAATGGTGGATCTTTCCATCGTTTTTTGTATGTTTACCAGAGGGTATCCCCAGTTTCATGGTATTTTACCTGAAAAGGTTGCGGAAGAAAAATATGGAAGAGCGCAACTTTTCGCGGTCTGCGAGCCAAGAGTCTGACAATGAAAATCAAGCAAGTGATTGAGACTGCCTGGGGAACACCCCGGTTGTGTCAAGAGCTTGTGTGGTTTATAACTCCAATAACTATGGTTTATGGTACTTATAACTATAGTTAATGGGGTTTATAAACCAACTTATAACTGGGGGGCCCCACCTTGTTGAGAATTTGTTAATCTGGATTATTAATAGAAGATTATAGAAAGGATTTATATAGCGCATAATATCATATAATATCTCTATGGATCAAAAAACACTTCCGATTCGAAGGTCCAACAAAAGTCCAGGATACTCCTTAAGCGCTTCCTTAAATAGAAGCTACCTCTTCTGGTTCGGTGGTATACCTACCCCTCTGAAAAATATGCTCGTCAGTTGGGATCATGACATTCCCAACTGAATGAAAAGTCATAAAATTCCATGGTTCCAAACCACCCAGATTTTAACCAACTAACTTGACCATGGCCAGCGTTGGGATCTCCATCTTCCTCCCAGTATTTTTTTTATCCGTAGGCTGTTGGGGGATGATACACAGGATCAAGCCGAGCTCGCCCTAGCGTTCAGAAACAAACGCCCGCCTGAAGATTTTTTTGTGGCTGAAATAACTCTGGTATATGGTAGATATAACGAACTAGATATGTTATTTTTTATTCATGGGGTGAATCTAAACCAGGAAACATCACTGGGGGGCCCATCCTGCAGCTGGTTAATGGATGTTAATGGATGGTTATTCCCCCAGTCCAGGACTGGCAATTTCATAGGACCTGACAGCAGCCCGTGTTGGATTCATCAAGCCAAGAACCTTGGCTTTGAAACACAAAATCTTCACTAAAACCCATTAAGTACCCCATAAATCCTGATAAATATCATAATATAACTAATTTGCCCAGAAAAACATATGTTGGTTTCCAAAGTCATGGGGGTACCTACCCATTTTTCATCGTCCATGTTAAATATAGATGGATTTTCCATGAAATTAACCAACCAGCTATTGGGGATTCCCCGCATTTATGGAAATCCCTATTTAGAAATATGATTGATAATAGTAGTTCATTGATGGATCATATCGTCCTAAGATGGGATACCAAGCAACTAACTACAATATAACCAACTATATTTGGGATGCCAAGAAACCAACTACAATAACTACACTGGTTGGTGGTTTTAACCGTCTTGAAAATATGAAAGTCAATGGGAAGGATTATCCCATATATTATGGAAAATAAAACATGTTCCAAACCACCAATCAGTAAATATATGGGTTTCCATAGTCATGGGGCTACCCCAAGTTCGTTGGATGGTTGAGGCCAAGCTGCAGCAGGTACCATGGTTGGAGCTCGATCCAGAAAGACACCCGTCATCAGAATGCAGTAAAGAATGGTGCCGGCCAAGACATGGCGCCTCGGAAAGCACACATACATATGTATACTGGTTGGTGGTATACCTACCCCTCTGAAAAATGATGGAGTTCGTCAGTTGGGGTTACTATTCTCAACTGAATGGAAAAATAAAGCATGTTCCAAACCACCAACCAGATCAACCAGTATCTATAAAAGTTGTTGAACATCCATCAAATTCCACCGGCTTTTCTCATCATGGAAACCATGACTTTCCATGACTTTCCAGGGAAGTTCCAGCGATTTCAGCCAGTCCAGGAATCACTGGTTGGTGCTATGCCTGGCCCTCTGAAAAATATGACTTCGTTCGTCAGTTGGGGTTACGACATTCCCAACTGTTTCTGGAAAGTCATTCAAAATTATATAAAATTCCATGGTTCCAGTCACCACCAACCAGTTTTTTGTATACCATTAGTATACCATTCATATTTCATTAACCTGCCATATTATTGTCATGATTCCATTAAATAAACATTGGAACACCCAGTTATCTGGATGATCTGGATCTGGAAAGGTGAGAAAAGGTGAGACAATCAACACGGATCGATGTTTTTGTCATCCTGCGTCCCTTAACAAAGTACATAACCCAAAATGAATAGTGTTACCAAATACTATAGATCACCATTCACCAAATGAATACAGGTATAGTATTTGTCAAAGATTATGATAGATCACCAAATACTATACCCATTATACTATCGCCATGGATCGTGATGATTGTGGCTTAAAATCAGTCTGGTAGATTGTCATGAATCGCCCGTAGATTGTCATAGAGCATGTCAAATGCTGGTCTGATCATCACCTATTCAGCAATCGTTCCAAGCATCATCCGATCATGACATACTGGTGATGGTGATGGTGATGGTGATGATGATGGTGATGATGATGATGGTGATGATGATGATGATGATGATGATGATCATTTTGACCATTATCAATTATCATATGTATTCTATGATGATTATTACCATCATTATGATGATTATTCTTATAACAAAAAGTAGTAGTAGTAATAATAATAATAATATTCATCATCATCATCATCATCATCATCATCATCATCATCGTCATCGGAAAAATCATAGGTCATTGCTGGATCAGATCTTCCAAATCAGATGTTTTCACATTGCGTTAACAATCTTTCACCGCCATGGGGTTCCGCCTTTGCGCCGAGAGACAGGTTCATGACCCAAAAGTTGCCACCCAGATCGGCCTTCTTCGTCTCTGCCGCAACAATCAAATAGCCATAGATCACTCCTAGAAGGGCGAACTTCAGCCTTTGGACCCCGAGAAATGATGAAAGTTTTCACGAGAACATCCCTTAAATTCAGGAGAATACATCATAAAATTATATTAATATATAGTTATGAAAACCAACCTTGAAATCACCAGCTGGATCTAAAAAGCTATGCCATGGATATACTGTCCAGTTTTTGGAGAAACAACATGGCAAATGTAGCCAAGTGGAGTGGCTTCATACATTTCTCAGGCATAGATATTGGTTGGCGCATCGTAGGGATCAACAAGTATTCAAATGTAGATAAAATGTACCTATAAAAAGTGTGTGAAACTGTGAAACCAGCGATTTTTATCTATGACGCTTCACGAGATGCTTCCGAATCACTGGTGATCTGAAAATTTCTTTCAGGATACCCTCTGGTAATTTAACATTGCTATTGAAAATTACCATTTATAGTGGATTTTCCCATTAAAAATTGTGATTTTCCATGGTTATGTTAGTTTACCAGAGGGCATCATTTTTGTGGATTCCACTGGCTGCCAAGGTGCGGGAAATCAGGAAATTGATGGCTTCAAGCAAAGGGATGGTTGGATTCAATGTGCCAAAAACGATGCCTGCCAGCGATGATGTGCTCGGAGTGCAACCAATGATCTGTTGCTGATCTGTTGCTGAAAAAAAGGAGGAGAGAAATCAAAACAAAAAAAGAAAGGGCGCCAATGGTGTAAGAAGTCATTTTGCAACATATTTTGTGGTAAACGTTTACAGTTTGCGAACTGGAAAATGGCCATTGAAATAGTTGATCCCATTAGAAATGGTGGATCTTTCCATAGTTTTTTGTATGTTTACCAGAGGATACATATCCTCCATAGCATCGACTTTGGAATGTCCAGTTTTTCTCGCCCCAGGCCGGCCGCCAGAACCAGGCCTACCAGCAAGTTAATGCACCAGCGCGCACTTCGAGAACCAAAGCCGTAATAATCCTGGCTATCTACGAATCCCTTCCCCCTAGTGTGAAATGTATGGAGGTATATTGTCATATATGAGGTATCTAATAAAATCTAAAATGTGGATGATGTGGATGGGAATAGTTACTATGATCGTATCTCCCAAATGGTTATGTCCCTGTGAATGGAAGCCCCAAACAAAAGAAACACAACTCAAGCGGGGTAATTATTAGTCAGGGATGGACTTATGATGACTTATACATAATTTCCAAAAGCGTTGTTGAGCCATCCATCAAAATTTTGACTTAGCTAAATAGAATCACCGTTGCAACTTGATATTATCCACTGACGATATTCCCTGTCAGACTCACCAAATTCAGAATGGACTCCCTCGCCACATATTCTTCAATATTCTTCAATATTCTTCAATATTCTTCATGGCATTTTGTAGCCCCCATCGATGTCTATTCACCTGTGAGCCAATGCCCCAATTTGTAGATGGCTTATGCCACAGATTGGTGACCCTTTACGGCATGGGATGGCATTGGGTTTACCACATTATGCAGACAAAATCGCAGAAATCAATTTCTATCTAAATTATATGTTGTAATATTTGTAGGAATTCCATTCCCTCAATGAGGGAGAACCCGCTTTACTACACAAATCAAGTTCCTGGACATGGACAAACCACGGGAAATTCATGAAGTCTCTTTTCCGAAAAATCGGCAGCAGGTGAAAACCATCATCTGAAACATCACAAATCTATACATATGTCATATATATATAATACCTAGATCTTCGATCGTATAAGAATATTTTGGTAGACTATGTTGCTTACCATTTCTTGACATATCGGGCAGAAAAAGTAGTCCTTGACCACATCGACCGATTTTTCTTAAATCGACCAGTTTTGGGCCAAATGGGTCCACATGAGACATTCAGCAATTGGAGTGAAGAATCCCAATGTTGAGACATCAAAGTTGATGATTGGGGATACTTTTGGACTCATCAGCCATTGATCATCTCTTGGATTGGGATAACCACTTATTATTATGATCTTAGAATATGGGATAGATTGGGATAACCATTGGCAAAGTCCTAGCCATTTTCTGGGACCACTGGCAACTTTGAAACTTGATTCGTGATTTGAGATGTAAATCATATGAAATCTACAGATGTTCAATGATGTTCATGGATTTTCATGAACAAAAAGGCAAAAGTTGCGCCCACAAAATTCTCGAAAACGACCTCAAAATCCCAGCAAACGACCTCAAAAACCATCAAAGGGCTACAAATCCCAAAAACTAGGTCAATCATGTTCTTTACAATACCAGAGGATTTTCTTCAAAACATGATATTTCCATAAGCTTCAGCCAAATTTGTAACCATATTGACCCAGGCAGGGAATCCTAGCTGGAGCAGAAAGGATGACTACATTCGCATCTGCAAAATCTTGCTGCTTAATTGATACATTTGACACTGAAGCTGTACTGCATATAGATTTATATACATCATAATTTCATTGGTTTCACCTTGAAGTGGATTTTGCTCAAGACTTGCCTAGGCGGTAAAGGGTACCAACATGGCAGGTGAAGGGTTAGGGGGCAAATCTTGCCCTTCAATGGTGGGGTCGCCTACTTTTCTGTGAAACGTATGGTTTTGGCTTAAAACTATCTGAAACGACTCAAACGTCTACTTCTTGGAATATCGGTCAGAAAAAAGTAGTACAAGGGGGATCAACCAAAATATGTTGAGATTTAGAAGCTCTAGGTATATATATATATATTAATATATATATAATTACATATGCTAATTAGGTGTTAGATTAACTGTTAGAGGATTTTAGAATTGATGTCAGAAATGATTTGTTGTGACAATCAACAGGTAATCAACTATCTAACATTGATGTTCTTAACTGATGAACTGGTAGATTAACTGTCAGATTGTAGATTAACTGTCAGATGTATGGTGTTGTTAATGATATTCGACATTCGTATAATATATCAACTGTTGGATATGTTAATATCTAAGATTGACTGTTAGGTGCTGTTAAATATATGTTAGATTATGTCAGATGAAGACACTGTACCCTCTGGCAATCAAACCTGCCTGGAAAATCCATCCATTTAGTTCGATCATAAACCTCCAGCGAACGAAACCTCCATGTTTTTTGTGTATGTTCCCATATATTTTCCCATATGTTCTCCACATGTTCCTACGATTTCCCCATTGTTTATAGAAGATTTTCCAGCCCACGTTTCATGACATCGGAGCTTGTCCTGATCCTCGGGCTCAGCCTTCTTCTTGGCCTGCAAGCCACGGCAAGCTGCGTTGCTCGAAACGAAAGTCATGCCATGAAAAAAGGACACATACCCTCTGGTAATTTAACGTAACTATGGAAAATGACCATTTATAGTGGATTTCCCATGAAAAATGGTGATTTTCCATAGTTATTTTAGTTTACCAGAGGGTACCCTCCAGTAAATTAACATAGACCCTTGTAGATAGGGGTTGGAAGATTAGTGAAACCACTAAAAATTGGTGATTAAAAATTGGTCTATGTTAATTTACCAGAGGGTAAATTAATAAAATAAATCATCAAGTTAGTAGGGATTGCCTATATATGCCTATATATACTATCTGTTTGATCCTTTCATAGATAGTATCCATTCTTTGGGAACTATTTTTTCAGAAACAACTTACGACACGATTGACTCATTTCGTCAGTCAGACCGTGGGCACCTCTTCTTCGGTGTAAATGGTGCGAAAGCCCAGGAATTTCGACAAGTTGATGTAGCGCAACAAGTTCAAGGCATGGGTCGACCATTGAACCACCACCCAATTCCTGGAAAAACGATCCGAGACGAACGAAAAGTGACTTGGGATCGTCCCGAAAAATTGTTTGGCGAAATCCCAACGGAAATGAATTTTTCTTTTGTTCAAACCGCCAGCTGTGGTTCTTTTGAAAAAAGCTGACTGTCAGCTATGGGGAGATCCTGGGGACATATGTCTATGTGGTATATTTATACACATTTATACCCAGCAAATCATTTGCAATGATTCAGCATGACCGGATGAATTCCGTGGTCTGCTCATCCCGCAAATGCCGCCACTTGGCAGGAAAATCTCACATATTCTATACCTCTTCGCATGAGAACCATGTGAAAATCATGATAAAGACATACAAATACCCATAGTTTCGACATATTTGGCAAGTTTCCTGCATTTTTTTGGCCCAGATCAACCTTTAAAACCCATTGAAACCCAACTAAAACCTTCTAACATCCCATTAAGATCCATTAAAACCAATTAAAATCCCGTTAAGACCCCGTGGTTTAAGACCCAAGGTTCATATAGAAATGCGTGGCTTTGGGCAACTGATCCGCCAGCAAGTGAGGAAAGCTCAGTGGAGTTTGAGCCACTTCCTCACGAGGAAGCAGGGAAGCAGGGAAAGACCTTCTTTGAAGGAAACACAAATTGTACTCTCTGGTAAACTAACATAGCTATTGAAAATCACCATGTTTAATGGGAAAATCCACTATAAATCACCATTTTCAATAGCTATGTTAATTTACCAGAGGGTATAGCAACTGGAAATCCAACACACTGAATTTATATGAATTGATTGTAGGCTAGGAATTGGAAAGCCAAATAGGATCAAATAGGTATAACCTGGCAAATCACTTCGAAAGGAAATATAGTGAGCCTCCCGGAAGTCAACTTCCAGGCTGGGATTGAAACGTTCCAAAAACATCCTTAGAACCCATCATAAACCCCACCGCAACTTCAATTGTCACGGAATCTCAAGCATTGAAGAATATTGAAGAGCTGACTTATGAACCACAAACTCCCACCCTTCAGTGAGGAAGTGAGGAAGCCAAAACGAAGTTTCTCTGCTGAGTTTCAACATCGAGGTTACTGCGCTCTGAAAAGATGCATCAAGCCATTTTGGGCGTCGTCTTAACATGTCTTAACCCTCAAGACCCATCAGATTAGGGTTTGTCTGAAACTAGGGTTTTCCCAAAACCCAATTGCTGAGAAAAATTGAAGAATCTTCATTAGAGCGATCTCATTTGTCCACAAATTTAAGCTGCTTTCGTTTCCCTGGGATTTTGCAGTACCCTCTGGTTAGTTCACATAGCCATGGTATAGATGGCCCTAATCGAAATAGATGGTTTACCGAACTTGAAAATGGCGGATCTTTCCATGGCAAACTGTGAATGTCATAACCAGATGGTAACTTTTGCCAAACAAACCTGGCGTTTTCCCTGGGATTGTCCACCGCTGCCATGGCTGGCCTTGCAGAAGTCCAAGAAGTCGTTCCCCACCGCTGTGACCAGCAACACAAAGATCACCTCGTGGAACCAAATCGAAAAGCCGCCGTGGAGAAAGACTGACGATTTAAATGGTGACTTCTGTGTCGAAAAAAACATCCTCTAAAATCCTCTAAAAATGAATAGTTTTCTCCAAAATGAAAAATGTGTTACATTGTGTTATATGGTGTTATATAATGTTATATTATATATATATGTGTTTTTAAGCTAGCATATATATATATATATTATCCTGGAAGATGGAAAATCATGGAACATTTACAACGATGAGCCAGAAGGGGAGTGGCCATAAACTCCAATGCCAAGTGAGAAAACCTGGTTGCCTGTTTTCCAGTCGGAAAATAAAAACCGTATACCCTCTGGTAATTTAACATAGCTTTGGAAAATGGCCCAGTTAGTTCGGGAAAAGGCAAAGGGGGGAACAGTGAAGCTACCTTGGAATTTTCTCACCTGGTAGTCTTACAGAAAAAAAAGGCACTCAGCTGTCCAAATTTCTACTTTTGTTGAAACATTTGACACCACTATGCCCCAAGAAAACCAAGACATTTTTTTGGAATGCACGACTGAGTGTCATTCTGAACTTAGGGCCAGTTATTCGAAGATATTCCAAGTGATTGGGATTGGCAGCCAACAAGGACAACAAATTGCACATCGCACCAAATCATCACGCATTCTTGCCATTCTTAGAGATTACAAGGTGGTGCCCTCCCAGTTATAGCTTGCTTTAAGAACCATAGTAACTAGATATATCTACCATAAACATCCATAAACATCCATAAACACGCATAAACATCCATAAACATCCATAAACCATAGTTCACCAAGTTATAAACTTGGCTAACTATGGGGCACCACCAAAGGTAGTCTCTTTTAGTCTCTCTCCAACGTTTGGGACGACCACCGGCGCGGCGCCTGGAACCAGAAGTACCATCCTGGGCTTATTTTCAGTGGATTTTACAGCCGATGAAACCAGTTTACCAATCCCAGTTGGATCCATGGTGCTGGAATATTTACCAACCACTTGGGATTATTTGGGAAAATTACATACATGGGGTCATTTTTAGGGTAAATATTCCAGCACCATGGATCCATGTATGGAATGTTAGTTGGATGTTTACCAGCTGTCATTATTTCACGGTACTTCCAAGAATCACCAAACAAAAGCCACTGGAAGAATGTCCCTACCTTCAAAAGATTTTTTCCAAGATACCCGCAGAAACTGGAGAAAACAATCACAATCCAGTGATATTTCAGTTCCAAGTTACCATCCCATCAATTGATTCACGACAAAAACCCTGAAAAGTCGCAAGGTCCATGGTAGTTGGGGAAAGGTCAGTGTTTCTATCCCTGAGCCACCTACCATTGTGGTTAATATACTGTTAATAATGGTTATTATGTGGTTATTCATGGTTATTCTATGGTTAATGATGGTTAATCATATTCTGGTTGGTGGTTGAGCCGTACCCCTCTGAAAAATGGTTATGGATCAATACCTATTAATACCATTTTTAGTGGGATGAACATCCATTTACCAGCTATTTTGATGTTCACCAGGGGTACAAGGTTTTGACACACTGCCAAATATGCTCGTCAGTCGGGATGATGACATTCCCAATATATGGAAAGTCATAAAAGCCATGTTCCAAACCACGAATCAGTATTGATTTATGAAATGATGTGCCTTCCGGTACTCAAACGCGGCTGGACAATCCTCCAACTAGCCATGGAGCTTCCGTTCGCTGGGAAAATCAGCGAACTAATGGTGGATTTCCAATTCCTATGTTTGAGTACTAGGTATATTAGTATATCCCATCTGGTTGGTGGTTTCAGCATGTTTCAACCATCTTGAAAAATATGAGTTCGTCAATGGGAAGGATGACATCCCATTCCCATATATGAAATGGAAAATAAAACATGTTCCAAACCACCAATCAGCCATGATCTTCCCATTGTATTCCCCCGTTTTTTCAACCTTGGAATTGATGGTGACATTTCCATGGAATTTCCCCGTGAATTCCCCACTCCAATTTGGGAAAAATTGAGAAATGTCATCTATTATAAACCATTAATATGTTCAGCCATAAACCTCCACATTGATTTCACCCAAAACCAAAAAAAAAAAACATTGATTTCACCCAAAACCTCCATTTGTTTCCATGTTTTTGGTGGATTTGTCCCGGTTGCCGGCCGGTTCCAGCCAGGCTTCGGAGCAACATCTCCTGGGCGCGAGAGGAGGAACGCAAGGTGTAGCAGTTGTCGATGACCAACAACAGCACCTGTGTCGGCGCGTGGAAAATGGCTGGTTGCCTTGGCTGGGTAAACTCGCGGAAAATCAACCATTTGTTTCGACGATTTTCCATGGGTTTTCCCATGGCTTCGCACAATGGTGGAAAATTTAGTGGTCTATAGTGATGGTTCAAAATAGTTTGGGAATGGTTTAAGAATGGTTGATACTGGTTAATTAATATGGATTAATCATGGTCAATATTGTAGTGACCCTCGGGGAAACGTCTACAAATGGTCGATTTTGCAGATCTAATCTATAGTAGTTTACCCTAGGAGTAATAGCGGTTAAGAATGGTTAATAATGGCAAAGTACTATGGCGAAGTTCCATGGTAGTTTAGTAGTTCATAGGTATATGATATAGTAGCAAAAGATAGCAAAAATAGGGGGTATAAAAAGAACCTCTCTATTGATGATGGGTTACTTTGTTCTGCACTTGGTATCCCTTGGTACCCGAAAAATAAGGCTATACCGAAGGGGACAAATGTCTTTCGGTGCCATGTTGATGATTTTCAATTGTTGAAGTCCCATTCTTTCATGGAGATTCAACCAACCCCACCCATTTCGGTGAACCCCAAAAAATAAGGGTTTGTCAACGGTGTACTACCAACAATCACTAATAAGGGTCCGTTGTTGTTGTTGTTGTTGTTGTTGCTGCTGCTGCTGTTCTTACTTCTTTCTTTCTTTTCCTATTCTTCTTCTTCTTCTTCTTCTTCTTCTTCCTTCTGAGACAATTGCCATAAATCATCTGATAAATTGGGTGTCGGCAGCTATCTTAAAGAAAGGCTGAATCAAATCATAGATGCAATCACGCATACGTCATGCAGTATCACGCGGCATAGAGTCTATACAGTAACCTATGGCAATCAAACATGGAAAATCTCCCGTTTGTACACGGTCTGATTGAAAGCCCATGGCCCATTTTTCTCAGATATGACTTATAGTCAATTGCCATGTTTCGCTGCCGGGTATACATCCTAGTTCCACATCGATTGAAAACACCAGTTGGGCAACTTCTCAGGATTAAATGCATCTGATAATTGGGGGGTTCCATAGTCATGGGGGTACCCCAATAGCTGGATGGTTTATAAATGCTTTTGGAAATCCGACAATAAAATGGATGATTTAGGGGTACCCCAATTTCACAAACCGACACTTCGTGCTGTTTTAACCACTAGATTCGTACTCTAAAAATAGCTGTTCGGACTTCAAATTGCAGCCCGGACCCTTGTTTTGTCCCAACAAAACACCTTCCCCGGTCCAAACACGGTCCCGCCGTCGGCAGGAAGGAGAGGAAAATGGTGAGTCCCATGGTGGGCGCCAAGGATGCCCACAAGGCATCCAAGAATCCGGGCATGTGGATGCTATTGGCCTATCAGACACGTCGACCATCGGGAAGGGTTAATAGTGGTTAATAGTGGTTAATAGTGGTTAATATACTGTTAATAATATGGTTAATGATGATGCTTATTCTATGGGTTAATTATGGTTAATCATAATCTGGTTGGTGGTTTCAACCCAACCCCTTTGAAAAAATATGAAAGTCAATGGGAAGGATGACAACCCATATATGAAATGGAAAATAAACAATGTTTGAAACCACCAACCAGTTTACTATATCCCATATGCTCCATGGTGCTGGTATATTTACCTACAAAACTGTTTTTTTTTAGGGCAAATGTTGGTAAATATTCCATACATGGAGCGGTATAGGAAAATACATATGAAAGTATATACGATAGCATACTGAAGGGATGAGTTTTCAACTATGACTTCAAACAAAATCTTGAATTCAAGAAAAGATCACATATTCATACATATTCCACACCAGATTTAAGCCATTTTTTCATTGGCACAAGTGCCATGGCCGAGCCGCGATGTTGGTGATGGCCAAGCAGATGGGAACGAAACCTGCATACCTGGCCGCAACGAGCTGTTGAGTTGCAAATCCCCGAGTCAAATGCTACATGTGTAACAGATACATAAACATAAGATACATAATACATATATATATATATATGTGTATTATATTTATACACAATATATAATATCAATATATGTATATTCATATATTATATATACATAATATATAATATCAATATCAATATATATATATGTATATATATATATATTTGTAATACATGTACACATACAATCATATACATATATACAAATATCGGTTCGGGAAGGACTGAACAAATTGGCCAAGCAGCAAGCCAAAGACACAGGCATAGCCAATGACCTCTGATGCCGTCTCAGTGTAGTTGTCATCCAAGCGAAGTTCCTGCCAACCTCGGCACATTCTCTGACAGTCGCTACTTGATGCTGCTGCGGGCCCCACAAATCGTAAATGGCCCAAAAAAAACGTGGGTTATGAAAAAATGGGATATAAATGATTCCCCCACTTTGGAGTCCATAAATATATGATAAATGGCATATCCTCTTTCATATATGGGATGAAATATGCGTTGTATCTGGAATATAAAAAAACGGATCCTATAAGTGGGAACATCCAAGCAGGCACTCCGTATTGACCCCTAAAACATGTATCTTACCTACATCCATAATTTACACCATAATTTCAGTACTGTTCCCCATGGAGTATATGGGGTACTTTAATAAGTGTCTTGGTACCCCTGACTCCCATGGAGTTGCTCATCGAGATGATCAATCCGGCTGAATTACCCTCTGGTAAACAAACAGTTTGCTATGGAAAATGGCCCATAGAAATAAATGGTTTGCCTAAGTTTACTTATTAAAAATGGTGATTTTCTATAGCTATGTAACAAATTACCAGGGGGTAATTCGCAAACCTGAAATCTTCGGCCATTTTGGAAGATTCCCCCCAATCCTAAGCATCGAAAACCATAGTGACGTCGCGGTGAGGTCATAATTCAGCCAAAATCATCCCCATGATATCCGCATTACATATATATATATAATTATATATATATAATTATATATAATTATATATATAATTATATATAATTATATATATAATTATATAATATATAATATATATATAATATACATAATATATACATAATACATAAATCATTATATCCCATGATGGCCAGATTTTTTGTTGGTTAAATCTTCATATTTTTTCTGGATCAATGGATCTGCCGACAAGCTGCGCACCATCTCAATGTCAGGGGGCTCGCTGAGGACCTTTGGGGGTTGCCATCACTTTAGGACATAGTGGGTACATGGGAATCTCAAGGGATATGATATGGAATCAACAACACTATGATATAGATTATGTATATAATATTATATATATATACATATATATATATTCTATATATATATATATTCTATATATATATATATGTGTGTCTAACAATGGTGGATTTAACCCCCAATATGTGGCGATATGTGGCGGGAAAACGGTTTTATTTGTTGCACTGCAAGTTGGGGATGATTTTTCTCCTCACTGCAACATCTTCAGCTCAACGGAGATCCTGAGTTTACTGAGATCTTGAAAGTCAAACTGCAAAAAAAAATGGTTTCTCAAACCAATGGGGGATCCTCAAACCAATGGTTTTTCCTATTAAAGACCGCCAGTTTTGGATAGCAAATGATGGCAACTTGGGGTTCCCCATTAAAAAAAAAAACGTGTCTGCAATTGTGCGACGTTGACAAACATAGGCGAGGCGTGGGATCGCATTGGTTGGCATCCGGTCCAATTCTTTGTATCCATCACACCATCTACTGCATATGTATTATATATATACAAATAAATCACTATAAATAGCTGTATATATAACCATATAATCTGGTTGGTGGTATACCTACCCCTCTGAAAAATATGAAAGCCAATGGGAAGGATTATATATTCCCATATATTATTGGAAAAACAATGTTCCAAACCACCAACCAGTAATACATGGCGTAAAAATAACAACTTCCATTGGAGTGGTCTTGCTCTCAACATCGAGGTGCCCAAGTGTAGGCATCAGAGTCATAATCCAGCTCCTGTGCCCACCCTCTGCTGAAGTTTGGGTATCAATTCTGATATATGGGCTATCCATTTGAAATAAGATATGAAGTTTGGGGGGGGGTCTCCGAAAAAATCAGACAAACATAGATCATAGACGGATACAAACAATCTCTCAACGACGTGCGACGAGGAGTTGTTGCTTGCATCCGTCTATTTCTCGCCTGCCCAAAAGATATCCCAGCTGCGATCTTTTCCCAGTCGTTATACAATGCACATCTCTCGCTCACCAAGTATTCTTGAGGAAACAGACATCATGTTTTTCTGGCTGAAGTATCGAAAGTATACCCACCATCTTCATAGATTGCTGTCTCAAATTGCCCTTGACATCCTCCAAACAAATCCAAGAATTACCAAAAAAACAGACATGTTCCCAACATTCGCGCTATGTTTTTTCTTCTTTCCCAACCTGGCAGCATGACCATGGCACCATGGCCATCTCTCCTTGGCCAACTCAACAGACTTGCGATCTTTGAAGGAGACGAAGGCGTTGCGGCAGTTCACGCCTCCCACCTGGCGCACCCAACACTTCATGGTTTAAAATGCAATTTCTGATGGTATTTTTCCCAAAGATTTGATGGCCATTTCAGGGGCTTAAAACCCAGAACCCAGGACAATTGCAAAGTCGGAAAGAGGGCGACCGGAATCATCCGGAATCCCATGACTTTCATCATCAGTACCCTGTTGAAGCCATTTGGGATAGTTGCGCGGGTAGAATGGCCGTTTTCAGACCGCAGATGGGGTAGTGGGTTGTCTGATGGCCGTAGTCTGGGCTTTCCTATTCCTAGGATCTGAGAAAAAAGCCAGTCATAGTCTGATCTCAACGATTCTTAAGCATCAAATTTTGTCAAAAAATGGGATGGGTTAAAACCTCTATGAACATACCCATACTTTGCAGGGATGAACATCCATAAATCCCAACTATTTTGATGATTCACAATGGTGCAAATGTTCAAAACCCTCGGTCATCCTTTTATACTGGTTGTGCTGTCAGATCTTACGTTGAATGCTGTACATAAAATGCAATTTGACAAGTGACATACAAGGTACCAAATTCATTCAAAATGACCAAATCGATGGGGAAGACACATACAACAGAAAAACCATCAAGAAACATTGTTTGGTGTTTTTTCAAACCTCTATAGTTTTGTGCTCTGGGGTCGCAAGATTATTTAAAAAAAAAAAAACGTTGCCAAGTCATCAACTAGGGTTTTGACTCAGATCATCTCCCTGGTGGTTCATTGGGTCATGGCCATTCCCATGTTGGATAAAGGTTGCTTAGCCGTGAATCACGGTGTCAGCTCCATGGCTGGGAAACCCCCTGAATCTACTGGAGGGTTTACTGGGTAATCCCCATGAATCTACTGATTTTGCTTGAGTCCCCATCATATACCCTCTGGTAAACTAACATAGCTATTGAAAATGGCCATTTATAGTGAGTTTTCCCATTAAAAATGGTGATTTTCCATAGTTATGTTAAATTACCAGAGGGTAAAGCATCAGTACAGCAGTGTAGCAGTACAACCCACCTTTCACGATCAACGTGTGAAAGGTGTGAAAGGGGCTTCACATTTTTCACAACACATGTTGGATATCTTTGGACTGTATAACCCAAGGATATTCAATTCTATCCTCATGATATATCCCGTTCTATCTCCATATCATTCATATCCGATTCATCCCCATAATGTCCCATTCTGTGACGGAAATGTTTGTTTATGTGCTTCAGTTTACACGAAATGTTGCAGGAAGAACAGTAATTATGTGCTTCATTCTATGTCCCATCTGGGCCCCAACCCTTGAATTATCCTGCAGTATCACTATTAACAGAACTATTTGGTCAGACTGTGGATGGATGGTTGCGAAATCCTGCACCAAAAGGATTGTAGAAATCCTATGAACAACGGGAGATTTACCACTTCCACTGGTGATTCGGGTTTCCTCTAGAGGAAATGTCCCCATTTTACACCTCCATTGTTTCATTCCCGTAGTCAATCGCCAATCACATCACCATTGATATCGCCATTCATATCACCATTCATTCACCCTTATTTACCCTCTGGTAAACTTTCACATAACTATGGAAAATCACCATTTTTAATGGGAAAATCCACTATAAATCACCATTTTCAATAGCTATGTTAAATTACCAGAGGGTAACCGTGAAAAATCTCACCACAATTAGCGGCTCGATAGTTCTCGCCTTTTGGGATTCCTCCAGAATTCGATGGTACTCTGCCGCGATGGCTTCCTCCGTCTTCCTCACCTGCGGAGGTGGAAAGTCATATCCAATAGGATCCATGTATGCTATATATGGTAACATTTACCATCAATATACCCCAAATGTTAGCATATATACCATACATGGATCCTATGGGTATGGAAAACATCAACAAAAATCAATGTAGGTAAAACAATGTCATAAACTACCCATTTTCCTGGGAATGGCAAACATACCACCTATAAAAATGGTGATTTTCCTGGGGGATGGTTTATGACATTGTTTTGCCAACATTAATGTATATTTAGACTTTAATTTTGATGTCATGGAATTTCATAGTGAACATCAGATATGCCTGCCCAACCTCAGGCTGTAGGGCTGTAAGTTTATGGCCTGCCCTGTGATTTCAAGATGTGATGCCGCCGTTTTGGCTGCCTTAAACTGCTGCAACCTGACCTTTCAGAAATCCCAGGAATATCATCTTCGCGAAACTTGGAGAGTGGGTGGATTGTATGATATTTGTATGCAATGCCGTGTTTTTTCAAAAAATCCCAATGTTTTTCCCCCAAAAAAAGAAACAGCTACCATTCACAGTGTCATCAAACGTAGGCTGGAAAATCCCCAAATCAATGGAAGTTTCTGGGAAGATCATCTTTATATCCCATTTTCCAGCAAGCCACGTTTGATGACACCAGAAGACATCTAGCCTCTGGTTATTTAACTGTTCGCTGTGGACAATGCCCCATCAATATCGATGATTTAGCATGAGTGACCGAAAATGCTGGCTTTTCCAGCTCTCAAACCGTCAACTGGGCTTCAAAACCTATCATAGATTCCCATATTCCTGGGATTTCCTGGGAAAATCAAGCTCCAGCTATACTAATCCATCCATTCCAGCTATCTTAAGTACGACCATCCATTTATAAACCACACGGCACGGTGGACGGTCGACGGTCACGTCGTTTTTCGTCACCTCCTCGGTGTAGAATTCGATGCTATCCACCTTTTGAGGCACCTGGGAGAAAGTGAACGGTGAGTTGCGATAGATAGAGGTGGCTAACAAAAACCAATGGTTTCTATAGTAGATATGATATATCTAACTGATATCTAACTAATGAATGGTGTTTTTTACGATAGATATATCTACTAGAAACCATATTAGTTAGCTTCTAAACCCCATTAGCTAGATATATCTACTAGAAACCTGCTTAGTTCTTTCATACACTCCTATAAACTAGTTCGATATATCTAGAAACTAAGGATGGGGCACCACCTTCTGGGAAAAATAAGCCCAAGTCACCATGCAGGTCATCCATGAGGACTGGATGATTTGGGGGGTACCCCCATGGCTTAGGACGACACCTCCCTATATATATATATATACGTAGAACAATCATATAACTTATTCTTCTTTTTCTTCTTCTTCTTTTTCTTTTTCATCTACGTCTTCTTCTTGCGTGCCATAGGTATGGTTTGTGAAAACGGATGTGAAACTAACTTAGAATCATATTAAACTAGGGAAGTTAACTGTAGAGTTAGCTCTTCCCAACAAGGACTTATGATAGAAAAATCGGATTCAGAATGGCCACCAGGAAATTGTTGGGAAACACACATTTCTTTGAGTCTGTTTTTAAGAATTGTGTTAGATATCTATGACATTTTACAATATATGAGATATAAACAAAATCATCAGCCAGTTCAAACATCTTCAAACCACTTCTGATCGGATCCTCTGTTTCATTTCCCTTCATAGCAACAAATAAAAATAACTCATAGTAGGGAGAATGGTAGCACTAAAATTCCCCTTTTTGTTCATTTTCTCCATTTATGTTTCGATAGGGGATCAGCCTTAAAAACCTGGAAAAATCGTGCACCCTCCGGAAATCCTGTTGAGGGCCACCAAGGCCCCTAGATGGTTTTTCAACCACCGAACGGATGGTTGAAACCCTATCTGGTTGGTGGTATACCTAGCCCTCTGAAAAATCTATTCGTTCGTCAGTTGGGATGATGACATTCCCAATATGATGGGAAAGTCATAAAAGTCATGTTCCAGTCACCACCAACCAGCAACCAAAATAATGGGATGTTTACCATCTATGAACTGGTTCATGTCCCGTTTTTTCTTGATGTTGACAACGACCTAACGTTGGATGATGAAATGTCACGGTCCTAAAATCCTGATTCGGTTATTTTTTACGACAAAAAATGACGATATCAACTGACTATCAATATTTATGTCCCCATCATCAATATGTAGTATTAAGTATCATCTTAAAATATCTCAAATATCCATAAATATCACCAAAAAACAGGCTCCCAAAATAAATAGGACAAGCAAAACACCCGGGCTTCTTTTGGATTGTTTTTCACATTAGGAAAAAGGGATTGATGTGGTAAATTCAAGGGTTGAGCAAGGGAGAATCGGCGGGGGAAACAATGGATTTTACAGTAACCTAAAAATGAACATCCTTTTCAAGCAGTGATGTGTTTTACCTGTTTCTCAAGTCTATGTTTGGATTTACCTCATTAAACCTTCAGCAGCATTGTCAAAAAAAGGCTGCCTTAGATGATGAGGACCCTGTAGATTTCAGTGGAAGCTGACTGACCCAAAACTTTTGGCTCTGCAAAGTTGGTGCGAACAAGTTTGCCACGTCAGTTGCCGTTGCCGGGCGGACGTCAGCAAGTTTAGCGGAAACGGGCTAGGAATAAATACAGAAAAAGGCCAAAAAACATCATAAAACTATATAAAACTGCTCTTTTCAGCCATTCATCAAATGTCCACAGTTGGAAAGCCAACAATTGAGGTCATCAGAACCACTAACCCACCTCCCGTGCTGCACCTGCCCCACATTCACCACATAGTGCTCAGGTCTCTTCTCGTTCTGCGGCAGAGATTTATCCGGTTGGACGATGTTGGACGGTTGGACATCACAGGGACCTGGTTATCTGGTTGAAGTTCTGCACTGAACTTGGGAGGATAAAGTTGGCATCGTGTCCAAAAAAGTTGGCATCTAAAATTTCTGAACGTTGACACGGGGTTGAAATGCAGCTACTTATTTGTGAATTTCACGTTTCGGCCAAGCAAGAAAGGCACAAGACTTGTAGTTTGCTCCAGTCTATTGGATCGTCAGGGTAGGATCAGGGCCAAAAGACAGCCAAAGTATAACCATCTTCCAGAGCTGCAAGATACTGCAGGTCTCCGTAGGTGGTACCCCAAATTGGCATCTTTTCCCATGCGAAATGGTGGGAAAGTCCCAGCTGTTGCATTTAGCAGCTCCACCCGGCTCCTTCTCCAGTTGGAACTCCGCTTGACTCTTCTGGTCCAGTGCCGTGTCCCTGAACAAAGCGTTGAAGCGTTGAAGCATGGTGAAAGAAACTCCATGGAGATGAAATTGGCATCCCATCAGTATGAGGAAGGTCTTTTCTTGGTACAAACCCAGATGATACTGCCATGGCCTTTCATATATGGCTAGAACATGGTAGAACAGCATAGCTATAATGTCCGGGACTCAACCTCGTTCAAATAGAACAAGTTGTCGATTGTCGCCATTCAAATTAGGTACGTTGTGGCCCTGGCCACAGATTTTGCTCCTATCAGCCTCCAGTGTCATCAGCTCCATAGGCTAAACCGTGCTGATCACGGAAAGGACTAGACAAATGATGCTGAGTCACTGACCACAAACTCTTCCAAGTCCTGATAAAAAGATATACCCTCTGGTAAACTAACATAGCTATTGAAAATGGCCATTTATAGTGAGTTTTCCCATTAAAAATGGTGATTTTCCATAGTTATGTTGGTTTACCAGAGGGTAAAATCCGTACATCAAAGGTGCCGGAAACCCAGGGAGATCTCTCGAAGAACCACCCGGCCGCCCCATGAGCTCCGTGAAACAAAGCGCCTGTATTGCACCAAACCGATGAGCGCCCGGGTTTTCTTCACGGTGTGGACTTCCTGCGGCAGTCGAAATTGGCTGGAAAAAAACATGTCTGTTCCAAGTGAAATTGAGAAATCCCCATGAAATATCCATTAAACCGAATTAAACCCTAAAAAATCATCACTAGATCGAATTTAAGTCACCATTACAGGTACCCTCTGGTAATTTAACATAGCTATTGAAAATCACCATTTTTCATGGGTAAATCCACTATAAATGGGCCATTTTCAATAGCTATGTTAAATTACCAGAGGGTAAATTATAAACTAAGCTGAAAAGTTCGGGTATGTTGGGAGAATTCCCTGAGAACATTCACCATCATTCCAGTCAGGGAGAACAGTGAGGTCGTTATATTTACCCAGATTAGATCACTTAAACAATCTTAAACACATGTTGAATATGTGCTTCCCTAGGCCTGGAATCTGAGTCATGCCGGCCTCGACCACATCGCTGCCCAACGCCAGACCAAAGAACTCGCGAATCTGCGATGCGAGTGCTGATATGTGCAAGTGCTAGCTTTAGTGAAGGGTCATTTGACCCGAAACCATATGGAGGTTTTCTAAGTCATGGGGGTACCCCGAACAATCATCCATGAAATAAAAAATCGGATTTCCAAACCATCCAGCTTTTTTTGGGTACCACCATTTTAGGAACGCCCCCCCCTTATCTTTCCTCCTTTGATCCGATTCTGGATTTCATGGGTTGCACCCAGGTGCTAAGGATGTGATGAAATGATACTCAGATCATTGCCATGATTGATGAGACGCTGTCAATTGATTGGATTCATTCCATGCAATGAGGATTGTAATAAATTTTAGTTGATGATTCTGAAACTTCATAAAAGACAATACTTCGATCTGGGTAAAAACTTAAGACCGGACCACACCCTTATTGTGGTTATTTGCTGCTGTTGACCACGCATTTTCTGGGGTATACCCATTTTGTTTACCCATCCCATCCCATCACATCCATGGCCACATTTGCCCAGTGGTCAGTTTGGTGGGCCAGCCTTGTCCTCGCAGGTAAATTCATCCGGGATGCCTTCCACCAGGACTGTCCTGGAAAATATATGCGGCTATCAGAGATTTTCATGTAACCTTCGCAAATGGTGGATATCATAAGAATAGATGATATCATTGATATGGGATATGGGGATATATGGATTATATAACAAAATAACCAGTGATAGGGATTGAACCAGTGGATTCTACATGAACATAGCTGATTAGCTCGGCTGGGGTTTCAGAGGGGTCCTTCGAAATTATCCAGAAATATTCAGAAAATGTGCTGGCCCATTCTGACTGGTCATAGCTGAAACATCTTGTGATTTCTTAGGGATCTTTTTGTGGGGACATGTGTGTCTATTTGGAACTGCACAAAGCATCACAAGACATATGTTTCATCAAAATACGCAGGATACATCAGCGAACCGAACTTAACCTATCTGACTACTAGCCATACAGGTTAAGTGATGATCTGGTTGTTTACCCTCTGGTAAACTAACAGTTTGCGAACTGGAAAATCATTTTCTTTGAGTAGGTAAATCACCTATTTCAGTGGTCCATTTTCCATAGCGAACTGTTAGTTTACCAGGTTGTGAATATACTGTTTCTTGGGGACGGTTACTTGGTGAGGGACCTCTAACATCACGTGGTTTAGTTCATCCTAGATACGTAAGCTACGGGCAAATACCCAATTATATTATATAACGTAATTCCCTGGGGTGAACGTTCACCCGAAATTCCCCAAACTGGAGCTTTTACCCAGTTATTTAATGCTTAAAAACATCATCTATGAATCTATATAAATGGTGTATGTTCCACGGTTTCAATGGTAAAATACTGGTTGGTGGTTGAGCCCTACCCAGTCCTACCCCTCTGAAAAATATGAGTTCGTCAGTTGGGATGACATGACATTCCCAAGATATGGAAAATCACAAAATTCATGTTCCAAACCACCAACCAGAATATGGTAAAATATGGTAAAAATAATCTAGAAATTTTATGACTGCTGGATTTTCCGCCTGACCTGGAGCGCGGATGCGGCAAAGTCTTCAGCCACTTGAAGCGTCGAACCAGAAATTTCTCCTTCGGAGGTTCGCGCGCGTTTGCGATCAATGGATGATTCAGAACTATATAGTTGAGGGATGTTCATATATAGAACTATAACTATGATAATGGATACATAGATTAACTATAACTGATTAAGAAAGAACTACAACTATGATTGTGAATGGGTTAAAACTATAGTTAGTTGGTTTACTAATTATTGGGATATATTGTGTGTTTTGTTTGTTTCGATAGATACTCCTTTGTGGTTGCGTTAAATCACAACAGGATGGTAGAAACCCTAGGAAAATGATCATGGAATCCATGGTGGCTTTCCACCACTTTCCACCATGATAAAAAAAAGAGGAGGGAAACCATGGGAAAGTGGATGAAGAACGATGAAATGATGAAGATCTGCATGGAATTTTAAGACATTTTAAGGTCCGTTGACTGGCAGGCTTGGTCTGCTGACTGGCCAATTTTTTGTTGATGAAATCATAAAAATTCACTGCCTGAAGAGGGGACTACTCACCTAGAATAGTTCTTGCACCCCCTTGCGAAACAGGAATTTCTTCCAGATCCAATCTTGAATGAAACTAATAATGATACAAATGATACATGATGATACAGGACAGAATATAGAATGAGGTAAGGCGCATCAGGAGATTCATTGTGACAAAGATTGAAAAAAGGCTCCTGTGCATCATAGATCAAGGTCTTCACGGTGTAGCAAACGTAAGCCACAAACAATGCTTGGATGTAGTACAGCCAAGGATGGCGGATCACCACATTTCCTAAGAGCGCTGCGATTGGCTGAGATGTGAACCACCGGATTTGATCTGGAGATTTTTTTCCGAGAAAAGGTCCACGGAGGTAGTGCTCAATGTGGCGAGGAAAACTGGCTCAAAGAAGAGGTATCAAAAAAGAAGTTACCCTCTGGTAAACTAACATAACTATGGAAAATCACCATTTTTAATGGGAAAACTCACTATAAATGGCCATGTTTAATAGCTATGTTAAATTACCAGAGGGTACCCGGTAGCGAAAAGAAGTTCCCTCAGGAAAGCTTTGTCTCAGAGGTGAGGAGATGCAGCCATTGGCCAGCCTTCAGTCATTCAATCCCACCTGGCTGGAACATGTTTTTAAGATCCGCCGACCGACCTTTGCAGATGATTCACCAAAGAAAATAATGTGAACATATCCCCCACTTCACTACAACTTGCCCAACAAAGTTGTAAGATGTGAACATGTTTATGTCACCGCTTTCTAAAATGATTCGCCTCCTGAAAAAGGATATAAAATTTGATTTGTGGATGGCAAAAATCATCAACGCAATCTATAGCCTAGGCATATCTAATCACGGTGAAGCCAAGACGCCCATGCCGATCTTGCTGAGACTGGGAACTTCTGGCCCACCCTCACCGAAGAAGAAGTGGAGCGGGCACAAGATGCAGACGCCCACCTTCCGGCCAAGTTCCACCATTTTCCGATGCCGTTTACATCAGGATGTTCAATGAATTTTCATCGTCATTCTGTTGGAGAATTTTCATGATTTGTGTTTAAAAAAAAAAAAACAACAGTTGAAAATTCTCCAACAGACATCATTGTGTTTTTCAGTGATGTCTTGCTTTCCAAAGAAGGACACCAAAAAAAATGGTCAGGAAAAACATGACAAAATGAGGTGGCCTCACTTGCTGTGTTATTGGTACTCTTTGGCATCTCCCCCTGTGAGTTGTACTGGGAGGTACTTTGGCATCTCCCGAAATCTCGCAAAATTTACAAACATAAAGTTGGAAGTTCCAACCTGGAACATCAAGAAATGTTTCAAGCATGGCTTACTGGAAAATGTAATGAAAATGTCCCCAATCTCCCCAATCCCCCATTTTCAACACACATTTCAGAATCAAGTCGGCTACTTACATCAAAAAAAGAACTCTGCGCCCGAAAACCGCACCCCCCCGATGCGAATGCAAATGGCAAATGCCAACTGAATGAACTCCAACCTGGGCAGTGCCGTGCAGTAAAAACATGGAAAGAAGAATCCGAAGAATTGGGAACTTACTTAGATGTATGTATGTATGTATGTATGTATGTATGTATGTATGTATGTATGTATGTATGTATGTATGTATGTATGTATGTATGTATGTATGTATGTATGTATGTATGTATGTATGTATGTATGTATGTATATGTATGTATGTATGTCTGTCTGTCTGTCTGGATGGATTTCTGTTACGATGTCTTTCTTATGTTTCTTTCTTTGCTGTCTTTCTTTATTTCTGTCTGTATGTATTTCTGTCTGTTCTTTGCTGTCTCATGTTGCTTGTGTCTATCTAGTCTGTCTGTATTTGCTGTTCTTTCTTTGTGTATGTGTTTGTGTATGTATGTGTATGTAGTATGTCTGTCTGTCTGTATTATGTATGTAATATGTATGTATGTATGTATGTATGTATGTATGTATGTATGTATTATGTATGTATGTATCTATCTATGTATGTATGTATGTATGTATGTATGTATGTATGTATGTATGTATGTATGTATGTATGTATGTATGTATGTATGTATGTATGTATGTATGTATGTATACATATATATTGGAATTATATTGGTACCTATGAAACACTGGGACTGCAATGGGACTATGGCCGCATGTTTACCATCTACCAACTCGTGCAGAATTTCATCCATCCACAATAGTGAACGATATGTAAACATAATGATCTAAACAAATCCAGCAAACGAGCATCATGGCAATCATGGCCATTTTTTTCTCCAAACCTCCGAATCGTTTTAGTCCTCGTCCAAATCATTGGCTTGGTGAATTAGAAGATCATTCAGTCATCCCTAGATATGACCTGGTCTTTACCGCAACAACTTGGGAATTTCCCGGTGTGTTTGTTTGCCCTTCAATCGACTGATCCTGATAAGTCTAACTGGGGTTATAAGCCGTAAATGGGATAGTCCACTGAACGGGGACTTCCTAACCAGAGTTATCTATGGTAATTTAACACAACTATGGAAAATAACCATAAATAACCTATTTTTAAAAGTTCGGTAAATCAATGAACCATTTCTGGCCATTTCCCAGTTCGCAACGTGTTAGTTTATACCAGAAGCCAGAAGTTAGTCTCTGGGAAATTTACATAGCCATTGCTCGATGCCTTGTGTACTGTGATATGTGTAATGGTCCTGATATTATATATATATATAGTGTATATATATAATATGGGTTATGTTCATCCCATGCCATGGGAATCTAGAATCTAAATCGGTGGTTTTAACCATCTCGAAAAATGATGGAGTTCGTCAATGGGTTTCGGATGACATCCCATATATGAAATGGACAATAAAATTCATGCTTGAAACCACCAACCAGTGGGAATCTATATAGAATCTAAATCTAGAATCTATGGTCACGACACCCATGGGAATCTAGAAACCAACCATTATACTGGTTGGTTTTTTTTGGGATTCCCCTATTCGATTATTAGATTATCATAATCCCCAATATATTGGGTAGTATAATCCCCAATCTAAATTTGAAAATGGACTTCCGTGACTCCAAAAACCATCCTCGATCATACCTCGATCCAATCTCTGATTTTTCATCAGCAGCTGCAGAGAGGTTTGATCGAAAAAAAACAGTCACAGGTTGTTGTTTTTTGTCCATATGGGAAAATGAAGTTCAAAATACTCTAAAGCCAAACAACTTCCTTTAAACCATCAAATTTGAAGCTTTTCCGAAGTTTTCCGAAGTTTTTCATCATACCAAATTGTATTTTTATATATGTTTATATCATTCTCAGATTGGCAAATGTTTTTTGTCTCAGCTAGACCTGTCAGTGCTGTCCAAGTTGCATCATCACCGAGTCCAAACCAAGTGCTTTCGCCAGCTCTTCGTCTGTTTGCACCTCGCCAGCTGCGAGTTTCTGGGCTACCCTTGGGTAATGACTAACAGTTTGCGAACTGAAAATGGCCCATTTATAGTTGATTTACCTATTAAAAATTGTGATTTTCCATAGTTATGTTAGTTTACTGGAGGGTAACCCATTTTGAAGAACTGGCTATGACACGAAATCTTGTCCATTCTTGTCCCAAATTACAGTGCAACACTCGATGTCACTGCTCATATCAGCACCGTAGTCACGACTGGGCTGCAGTGTTTTGATGCAACATTTTCTGTTTTCAGAGTTAGGAGTTAGGAGTCTTTATGGCTTGAACATGTTTGAACTACCATGTCCGTATCATTCAGACTCCAGAAAAAAAGCTGCTTGGTGGTTGAGCCACCTACCCCTCTGATTTTTTTTGGTTCGTCAGTTGGAATCATGACATTCCCAACTGTTTCTGGAAAAAAACATGTTCCAAACCACCAACCATAGAATTGGTTAATAATCTATGGTTAATAATGGTTAATCTATGGTTAATAATGCTTAATAATTGGAATAACTGATATATTGTTATTCCAATTATCAACCATTATTAACCATAGATTAACCATAGATTAACCATAGATTAACCTGGAAAATTCCATGGTTCCAGTCGCCACCAAGCAGTAAGTCATACTGTGTCAGCATATCTCCATCCTTCAGCATCGCCCAGCAGCCCCGCGCACCTTGAAGCCCACTTTCATCCAGCCAAGGTATGTCTCTTCCGGTAGGGCACTGGCGAGAGGGCTGGCTATCAATTGGACCATCAAATATCCTAAGCATCATGGAATATCTATATGAAATCCTGACAGCGGTGTTTTGAATCTCATGTGTTTTTTGTATTTGTTTGTCGCTCTGCAAAGGTGGTCGTGGTGGAAAACCAAGATATAGCTGTGGCATCGTCCAGGCCTTTCAGGGATGTTTTTTTCTAGGATGTTGAAGGAGTAAACCTTGACAGTCGCAGCTGGTCCCGGGTGGCAGAAATTGTCTTCCTTTTTTGGGGGGGGCCCTGCCTTAGATCCGGCCATGGGGTGCACAGAAAAATGGGCAATGACTACTCTGAAAAAAATCAGGGGTCAAAAGGCAGTAAAGCTTCCCTCATTGCCGAGATGGGGGCTGAACCACCAAACGGCAGTGAAAAACTTGACTTCTGCGAAATGGGTCTAAACAAACGGCCAACGTGCGGTCCAGGTGTCCCTGGTAAAGTCAGAAGTGTCCCGGGATGGTGGGAACCATCTGGGTTTGTCTGAATATGGGGTACCCAAAAATTTAAGGCATGACCAACTCTGCCATATAAAATGCTCAAGATGGCTATCTACTTTCGGCGGTCCCAACAAAAGGAATCACTCAGTTGGTGAACGGAACTCAAATTCTAACTGTTGGGTTTATGGTTGGTTCATGGGCGTAACAGAAACAAACACAACTAGAGAGGGGCCCTAGCCATTGTACGAACCTCAAACGCCACGGTTCTCAAGGAGTTGATGGGGCTAGCAGTACCCGGATGTAACCCCTCCCAAAATATCAAACATTGGGATGTAAGCCCTCTAAGACTCTAACCAGAACAGTTGGGCAAATAAACTGTCTAGTCTATGCAAAGGATTTTGTAATGCTATTTTTTTTGCAGCCAGCCATGCTTAATGGCGGCACTGCAGCCCATTGCAATGATGTGCTCTTAGAGAAAATAGACGGCAAATTTTGGCAGGCAACATTCAAAATCATTTACCCAACATGCTGATTGGTAAATCTACAATCATGTTTAGGACATATATCATGATAAATAATTACCATGGATCATTTACCATTAAATTAAATAGTTTACCCTGATAATCACCATCAGTGTGCATGGACTGAATCTTTCCGTGTCGAATCTCACGGACCATATCAGTTTTGGTTACCATATCATTTACCATATCAGTTTACCACAAGATGTTACCATACCCATAGGATCCATGGTGCTGCTATATATGGTGACATGGATCCCATCAATATACCCCAGTCATGATAGCATATATACCAGCACCATGGATCCGTCATGGGATATCTACCTGAATACAACATGGCCTTCAAAAAAACATCGAACAAAAAACCCTCAGATTCGCAAGATCTTTGTAACAGCAGCCCAGTTGCCAATGGATAGTGCATCCTCAGCAGCCCAAACGCTCCAAAGATGCCCGCGATGGTCACGACCTAAGTTCTTCGTATCGGCCGCACCACGTATCTGCAGTCGATGTCATAGGAAGATCATCACAATGTCATGCGAAAGAAAGAATGGCTGCATGTATATATATATATATATTCTATATACATATATGTAATATATATAGAATATACAATAATATACATGTATATATATATATATATATATTCTATATACATATATATTCTTAAAATATTATATGTCAATTCTGTGTATACATGTATACAGCAAAATTGTTCTGAATGGCCAATG